CAGTTTATATGAACAGTTCAGGTACAGTGAGCAGTTGTCCATACCAAGAATGGTGTGGACCTTCCTGAAATCACAGACTCCACAAGTTGGCTGAGGACCCTTCTTGGAAGCAGAATTTTTCTAAGGAGCGGTCTCAAGCATGCTGTGTTTGCTCTTTTCTGCTCACACTGCTCTTTTGTTCCTTTTCTTCTGCTAATATGTCTTTAGGTAGATGACTGGAACCACTTCTGGGCTGCAGAGATCTGTTCTTACTGAGCAAAGGGCAGAGAGAGTTATTCCTGATGACAAAATGTGTCTGGTGTGTGTGTAGGGGGTGCACATGGACCCTCAATAGTGCTTGAGATGTGCCTAGTGCCTGGTCCTTGCCACATAGAAATGTGGGGCTGGGGTCATCCAGAGTTTGATCTATGAAAGTTTTCAAGACTGTTTCATAGAAGCTCTAAGTCAAATAATACCTATGACTCACCAGTTTTGCTTTAAGCATTAGGGAGAAAGCATCAAAAGTTTTTGGACATGCTGCTGTAACAAGGCACCACAAACTGCATAGTTTCAAAAAAAAGAAATTTAGCTGGGTGTGGCGGCATGTGCCTGTAGTTCAGGTACTTAAATGGCTGAGGAAGGAGCATCATTTGAAATCCAGGGGTTCTGGGCCAGTCCGGGTAACACTCCCAAACAATGAAAAATAAAATGGGGGACAGAGAGGAGAGAGAAAGGAAGTGGGAAGGAGGAAAGGAAAGGAATTTTTTGTCTTAGAGTTCTGGAGACCAAAAGTCTAAAAGATGCTGGCAGGGCCAGTTCATTCTGAAGGCTGTGATGGGCAGATGTATTCCAGGCCTCCTCGGCTCACTTGGTGTCTCCCTGTGCTTGTCTCTTTCCTAGAAGGACCTCAGTCCTTTATGACTGAGGATCCACCCTTAGAGCTTTAAGACCTCATTTTAATTTGATCAGCTCTACAAAGACTTATCTCCAAATACAGTCACAGTCTTGAGTACTGGGGTTTAGAAATTCAGTCTGTGAATTCTGGGAGACACAGTTCACTAAATAAAACAACAGGACAGGATATTGATGAATTTATGAAAGTATTTTTATGATGATCTTTGCAGAGATACCAGTAACGTATTGACTTAGAGTCATAATGTAAATATATAGTTCAGGCTACTGGAAAATCCTATAGCATCAAATACTAAATGGGTTTAAATGTGGAAGTTACAGAAATTTTATAATTATTCCTTTAAAAGAAATAATTCATAGAGCTTTGTTGAATGCTGAGTTTGGGTAATTATTCTCCAACCCCAGAGTAGAACCCCTTATGAAATGGTTGCTTGGAGTTTGGTCACCGTTGGGAATGGACTGAAGCTGCCAACTCTTTTGCAGTTTTGACCTTGTACTCTTGACGTAAACTGCACCAAAACATGCTCTAATCAGCTAAACCATAAAGCTTTTTAAGGCAACAGGATTAAAACCCAGAAGGAGATTGTACCTTGTGTGGATTTAGACAGTGAACTAACCTAGCAGAATTCTTTAAAAATCAGACAGGAATCATTTCAGCATCATTAAGATTTTTTTTTTCTTGCTACAAGGGATTGAACTCGGGCCCTTGCGCTTGCAAGGCAGGCAGCAGAACCACTGAGCCCAATCCCTGGCCCCAGATTTTGTTTATGGACTTGGATTTCCATGAGTTTGAATTGTATCCTCCATGCAATCAAATGAATACTCTGTTGCTCTGTAATTGCTCATTAACCTTCATTTTCTAGAAAAACTCCTTAGGTCAGTCTTTTCGTGAGTTTAAATGTGAAAGTTTAATTGTACTAGAGTGTCCCATTAGCAGTGTCTAGGGATATTGTTTAGGAAAATGAATTGTACATTATTTTACTTGGCAGAATTAAAATACTCAAATGGGAGTTTACTAAAGAAATTGCAGCTGACCCTTGAATTTAGTTTTATTGGCAAGTGCTGCTAAATTGCATGCTATTAAGTAGATCTTATTATAAATACCTTCCTGCTTTCCCTCAGACATGAGGTATAATGCAATGTTCCATTCCTTCATTTAGCCCTCACAGAATATCACATGTGGTAGATGATTATTGAGTGGCCTTTTTTCAAACATTAAATATTACCTAGTGTATTCATTAATGTCTGTCAACTAAAATAATTTAAGAGAGTCAGAAAATCAAGCAGCCACATTTTTGAGAGATTTGCCTCGCTAGTGTGCAGAGAGTGGAGTCTTCAGGATCTAGGAAAACATTGCTCACAACCTCTTTTTCCCAGTGGTTGAAGATTTAGGGTGTAGGTGGGACCAGTCTCAAGTCTCTAGTCTCAGTCCACTTTTACTATACATGTTCTCATCCTGACTTTGGTGGAGAACAAGAAGTTTGTCATCAGCCTTTGTAAATCTGCAGTCTGCGATCCTGAGGTCACTGAAATTCTACCTGGTGCCACCTATATCGTTGTCTGAAGAATTAAGGTCTTTTGCACAAATAAAAGCCATCATCTAGGGCTGGGGATTTAGTTCAGTGGCATCTGCCTGTCTCAAGTGCAAGGTCCTGAGTTCGTTTCCCAGTACAAAAAATCATCATGTAAGACTTTAACTTGCTCTCTGCTCAAATTTAATGTAATTAATGCCATTAAAAGCTAGAATCTCTAAAAACTGATCAAGTTATTGAGCTCTGTTCAGTGAGATATTTTATGTTTTGACCAGTAGTTGTCACAACCAAATTCTGCTGTTGTCAGTGAAAGACACATGGACTCTCCCACGATTCTTAAGGTGGGGTAAGGATGTTGCCCTTGATGTTTTCCTGGGCCTTGCTCCAAAGTCTCTCTGTCACAGCAGAGTGCTACTCCTTTTCCCAGAGCTGTCCCCCAGACTTCATGTTCTCCAGTGCACCTGTCTCACAAACCAGTGAGTCAGTATGGTTTCTTCCTTGAATGCAGATCATTATTTTGGTCATTTTGTAGTGACATTGCTGTTACATTTCTGCTCAGCTGTCTTGCCCTGGTGACTCCTGTGTGGTTGGCCCTTTGCTGTAGGAATGTGTTGGTCACGCAGGATGCAGGGAGTACCACCTTGTCCTGGCATTGTGCAGTAAGAGGAGCTCTTTGTCATCAGGGAACTTGGGGCTTACTAAGGGGAAAGATAGGTAAGAATGTGGTGAAACCAGCCTGAGATACCTGCAGCAGTGTTTCCCATTGCGTTACCTCCTAGTAAAACACCCAGTCAGACCTGTGGTCACCTTTCACTACCTCTTCCCTCCTGTGCCCCATGTCAGAGGTGGCACCACCCAGCTACACCGGTTGTGATCCTGGGCTCTCGCAAAGGAGCCGCCTTCCGTGGCCGGTGGGGCTGCCTCCAGGTGTCTGGAGCACACCTGTGGTCTCTGTCATATCCCCAGTTCAGACGCTGGTTCTCTGGCAGGACTGCTTTGTCATTTCTAAGGCCTCTTCCTCTTTGCAGCCGCAGTTAGCACAGTGCCTGCCACAGTGATGAGTCCTACTTAGCAGGTGGTGCTGAAGTCCGCTTCAGTCCCCTCTTGTGATCTTTTTATTGTACTGTTAGTCTATTCTGCCATGCCCTGTGCTGCTGTTTTGCATTCACATCATTAAAGTGCTCTTTCCCAGCCAGTGTTACTCACCCTCTGTCCCAGGAACCTCAAGTCCAGCCTTCTCCCAAGGCCCCAGTGAGCTCCCAGTTATTGTGACCCCGAACCTTTTCTATCCCATTTATGAATGTTCTTATTACTTAACTAAAATAACCTGTACTTTATGTATTTAATATTTTCTTTTCCACCATCTTTTTTTTTGTATTTTGTAGTATTGAAGATTTATAGGCATTATTTAATACTATGAGTAATTATAGCACTATATAAGTAACTTTCATTGTTTTAGAAAGCAGATTCTTAAGAGTATGGATGATGTCTGTTGAATTTTGTTTCTCTTTAATTCAGAGTTCTACTTTGCAAATGTATTTGATAAAAACTATAAGCTAAGGGCCGGGGATTTAGCTCAGTGCTTCGGCTGCCTGCCTTGCAAGCACAAGGACCCGAGTTCAATCCCCGGTTACCCTCCCCACCCAAATTATAACTTGACTCAGAAAAGTGTAAAATATTCTAATAAACAGATTTTTCTAGGGGAAACTGAAGGCATTTTTACCTTATGACCCAACTTAGCGATGGGTTTCGTGGCCCCTTCTGATGGCTGTCTTCAAACCAAATTTTGCCAATTTAGAAACTCTGTATTATTTTCTTTCATTTTGCCTACTTGAAAAATAGGGTCATTGAATCGGAATCTCAGATAGATACAACTTCATACCAATTGGGATAACCATTGCCTCCCTCCCCTTCCAAAAAAGATAGAAAATGACAGGTGTTGAGGAGGCTATGCAGAAATTGGAACCCTTAAGCATTGCTGAAATACAATACAGTATTGTGGCTGTGGAAGAAAGTATGGTGGCTTCTCAAAAACTAACAGAATTATCATCCAGCCCAGCAGTTCTGTTTTGAGTCTGAACTCAAAAGAGTCAAAACCACCGACTTGCCCAGATGTGCACCGTAGTGTCCATGGTAGTATGGCTCTCAGCAGTCAGGAGGAGGAAGCGACTCAGGTGTCTGGGGACAGGTGCACGGATGCACAGAGTGGGGTAGATGCAGACAAAGGAGTACCCTGTAGATTAAAAAAATACAAGTGTTTTCCCTCCACGTTCTTTGTGCCCTTTGCTGAATATTTGTTGAATTTGGCTTGATGATAGTTGACAAAGTGAGAGATTAACCCATGGCTCCTGGGATTTGTTTGTGACTCAACTGCCTTTAAAGATCTACATTGTCTGATTGTAGATTGTGACCTCCAGCCTGTTTTTCATCACGTTAATGATTCCTTTGGCCAATCAGATAATAAATCCCTATTTAAAAGGCTAGACAGATGCAGTTAAACTGTTAGAACTTTCTTAAGTGTGCTGACATGCAGGAGAGAACCGGGGCGTTCAGCTCTGGCCTTGCCTGTCTCCACAGGTGTACCTGGAGAGGCTGTTAACGTATGCGGAGATAGATATCTGTCCGGCCAACTGGAAGCGGATCGTGCTAGGGGCAATCCTGCTAGCCTCCAAGGTATGGGATGACCAGGCCGTGTGGAACGTGGATTACTGCCAGATCCTGAAGGACATCACAGTGGAGGACATGTGAGTGGCTCCTTCGTGCGTCCGTGAGACTGTTTGGGAAGGAAGCCAAATCCTTTTGGACGGTCTGTGCGCTCCAGAGTGAATGAATGGGCTGAATGTGTCACGGGCTGGCGCAATAGGGACTGGGTTGTGGAAGCACCGAAGCCTGTGGGTCAGGAGCAGGTGCCGGCCATACTCCATACTGTTTTGTGCAGCTGGTTTATGGAAACTAAATTGTAGGCAAACATTTCTTTAATTAGGAGGTGTAGGCCAGTCTTGTGGCGGTGTGTATTTGGGCTGCTTATGACATGCAGACTGGTGACAAAGCTTTAAAATCCCAAACAGTCCTCTGAGTAAAAAGGCTGCCCCCAAAAGCAGAAGAGCTAAAATATTACCTGTTTCTGTTTAAGAGAATGAATATATGCACTGCATTGTCAGATTTTGCAAATTCAGTTGCTGAAAATCAGCCTGTATCCCTGGGGCCTGTCCTGTGTGTGTGTGTCATCGGCTGTGGGAGCACTAGCCTGGGAGGAGCCACTCCCCACCCCTAACTGTCAGGGCCAGTTGGCTTTCTCAGCGGGGTCCATTCTCAGAGTCCTGGGAGGAATGTTTATGGGAAACATTGCACAGCCACCTAGGGGTCTGTGGTGTCTAGGGAGGCAGAAAATGGAATCAGAGGCTCTAAGGAGGAAGGTGTTGTGGACACACAACCAGGCCAAGCTACGGAGAGTCCCTTGTGGTGACAGTCGCTTCAGACACCATTCCTGCTAATGTGTCACCACATATCTTTCTGTGTGACTTAGCTCTTTACCACACCTCCCTGGGGCAGCTTTTGGCACGAGGAGGTTCCCTGCTGCATCCCAGGCCATGTCTGTGTCCCTGGATCCAGCAGTCTTAGGGGCCATGGCTTCTTCACAAAGCCCCTGACTTCTCCCAGGCCACAGGTACAGGGGTGTTGGTTGCAGATTCCCCACTACTGCGGCACTCCCTGCCTGTGGTCCCAGGTCCCCAGGTACCATGTTTGTGGGCCCTTTGGAGCACATCTGTTGGTGCTCTTGAGTCTTGTGGGGCCTTTTGATGTGTAAAACTTCAATGTCTGTGATTCATCATGTGTGGTAGTAAAAACAAGTTTCTGATCAGAACACTGTAAGAAAAAAATTTTTTCATCATATCACAGGGTAAGAACAACTACTGAAATAGTTGTCATTCAGACCACAAAGGAGATGGATATTTGATTGTGATAGTAAGAAATTTTGGCTTGTGCCCTTCATCATGGGCTCTTGTTTCGTCTGCTCTCTGGCATGTGATGCCAGTTGTGTGCCATGCAAGTGACTTCCTGGTCGCCCCTTCCTGTTTGGTGTCGTAGATGATGTGACCAGTGACTTGCCGTGAATGGTAGCACTCCGGTTCTGTCAGGGTGCACAGATAGCCCTTCCACATGGTCTTGCCCACCTGAAGTCCAAAGAAAATGCTTCCTAAGATCAGACTTCGGACTTCATTGTTGTCTTGCTATTTATTATTGTATTATACATTAGCTCACTATTTATTATTATACCCAGCTATTTCCAAAAGGAAATGAGGTGCAAATCGTAGATGCACAGAAAGATTAAAATGAGAACAGAGAAAAATAAAGAATATGAAAATTAGAGAGGAGCTCCTGTGTTTGTGCTCTTATCCTCAGTCCACCAGCAAAAGTGAACTTTTATACGAATTTAGGACTCGTGGAAAGTTCTTTCAGTTTATTAAAGCTTTGAGGAAGGTTGAGAATGTAGTTCAGTCATAGAGCACTTGCCTAACAAACAAATCAATCCCAGCACTACAAAAGAAAAAAATGTTTTTGATGAGGGCATTTTTAATATTAGTTCTTTTGTTGAACAGCCAGTACTTTAAACAATTGTACATTATAATGAGTTTGAATTGTGTTCAGAAGAGTAGCAGTAAACACTGAATGAAATTGCTTCTTTACTCAATATTTTAAAGAACCATCACTGTATTGAGTATAATAATAGTATTCTTGTGAAAGTTATAGACATTATTATGTCTGAATGAGATGAATGTGTGTTTTAGCCTGGATTCTGTCTTTTCCTTGAAGTCTCTTAGTGACTGCGTGGCCCCGTCACTGTGCCACTGGCCGAGTCCCATCACATCGCACAGCATTTGACAAGGACTCGATGCCATGGCTGAGGAGGCGGAGAATACATACAGGGAGAGCTTTAGTGTTCTTTTTGAGACAGGGTCTCACTGTATAGCTCAGGCTGTCTTGCAACTCTGTGATTGTCCTGCCTCAGCCTCCTGAGTGCTGGGATTACAGTCATGCACCACCAAAGCCAACAGGGGAGCTTCCTTTTTAAAGGAGCAGATTGTAAATAGTCTTCCTACAGAAACTCTGGGGTGGTACTCTATTTTGTTGCCGTCTCCAGGGCTCAAGAAGGGATCCTGCAGAAGATGCAGCTCTGGAGAGGAGCCAGGGGGGTCCGAGGCCCCTTCCCCTTCCCAGCCCTGGCAGAAGCCTGACATACTGCAGTAGACTGGGCAGCAACTCAGCTACCTGAGCCCGGACCTGTTCAGATCTTTATCTGATAATTCTGCCGTCGTTTTAAGAGCCACAGTGATGCATGTTCTGTGTCCTATTTAATTTGTGGTTTGTGTATTAACGTACTGTGAAAGCCTATATATTCCCCTAAGGAAAAGTAATCAAATAGTTGTATATAAGGAAATTTGGGAATGTACGGTTTTCCCCCTGCCAAAAGGTAGAAGGAAGAGTGTTCTTTCTAGTTGAGGACATTAGCCGAAAGAATACTCTTGTGCCATATGTTCACCCTTCCTGATTGCACAGAGGTATTCAGAGCAGGTTGGGTATGTCTATTTCAGGGAACAAGCCGCTATCCATGATAGCAGAGGCCTTCATCTATTTTAGTTTGTCCATCCTTAGATGAATTTAGGAAATATTTGTGCAGATCCATTACATTTTTAAGGTGATACTAAATTTTTTCTCGTAAGTTTTAAAAATTGCAAAGAATGTCATTTGCAGAATATTTTAAATCGTGTTTTAAACTTAAAAGTATGCATTGAAGACTGAGTATCATTGCAACATGGAATCCATCATTAGCCATTGTCTTAAGAGTTGAACATTTTGTATTGTTCTTCTCTTTGAATTCATTATTTCCTTTTCAGTTTCCTCCCACATTAGCTTATTCCTCAAATTCCTCTTAACAAAATGCACATGTGAACTAAAACTGCAAAGTCATTTTCTGGAGTCTCTTGTTCTAACATGAAAACACTTTCAGGTCTGAGTTATTGACACCCAATTGATCAAAACAATATAAACATATTACAAATTATAGATAAATCATTAAATATAATTAGTAAATTTATAGAAAATAGATTTCTTACTGAGATCATATAGCTGTTTTTTCCCTTCACTAATTTGTATTTCTGTGTAGAATTGTTATTTACTGATAAAATGAAACAAAGTTTTAGCAGGTTTTGCTCATCTCTTCTGTAACACAAGCTGATGGAATGTATTCATGTAAGTAGATAAAATTACAAAGAAGTTTGTTACAGTAGCATCACTCAAGTCTAAGTGTGTTTTTCAAAACATACAGTAGAATCATAGTCACATTTTGGTGAAGATGATCAAATGAGACTACCAGCAACTCTTTCAGTTTATTGAAAGCAAAAATAGGAAAGCTATTAAGTTAGTAGCCCATTGTTAGAATTTTGAGAAAGGTTGGTTTTGACTCAAGTTTTAGAAGCCTGTTTTGGTACGCCCAGTGGGCTACAGACAGAAGCAGCATGGTAGAAAGGGCTGGTAGAGGAAAGCAGCTCATGTCATGACATCCAGGAATCGGAAAGAAAGGAAAGAGAGGAGCTGTGTTCCCAACAGACCGATTCTTAGCAAGTCAGTTATGAAGCACCCATAGTCCAGACTCCTTCCCGAAGCAGCATCCAGATCGCAGTGGGACCACAGTGCCAGCGTGAGGAAGACCAGTGCCCCACTTAGCCCGGTAACAGATACTGGGTATTAGGAGCTGAATAGCTCCTGGAAATTCCTGTGTTGAAGACCTGCTGCCCAGTACCTCAGCGTGTAGCTGTATTTGGAGATAGACTTTAGAAACACAGGGTGATGAGAGTGGCCCTAATCAAGTCTGGTACCCTCGTGAGCAGAGGCGAGTAGGACACTGAGGACAGACGACGGCCCGTGAGGTCACGGGGAGAACTCAGGGAAGCACGCCCTGTCTACACCTTCGTCCTGGTCTCCTAGAAGTACAAGAAAATAAATGTCTGATATTTCTGTCATTGTATTATATTATGGCAACTTTAACCGATAGTAGAGTTTAGTAATAGGAAATGGAAGTTTGCTGGGACAAACATCTGAAAATGTAGACACAGCTTTGGAGCTGGATAGTAGTGGGAAAGAGTTTTGAGGCACGTTAAAACAAAAACAAGGAAAACTGGATTTCCTTAAAAAAGACTGTGGGTACAAATAGGAACTTTGAAGGCAATGCTGGTGTGGCTCGGGAAGAAAGCAGCAGAGGAAGGAAGTTTCTGTTAGCTCAGAGATGCAAGTGGTGCCAGGAATGGGGTGGTAAAACTGCCTCTGGAGAGGTCTCAGGCTGAAGCACATCTGGAGGAAAGATGATTCTTGTTACAAAGTGGCAGAGAACTGCCCAAATTGTGTCCTAGTGTAGCTGAGGAGATTTCAGAGCAGTGTTCAAAGCCCTGCCTGGTTTCTCTTTGCTACTTTTCTAGTAAAATGTAGAAGAAGAAGTAATGAAAGATTTGGAAAACCTGCTTTTTCAATCCTGGCCTATGTACTGTGGAAGGAAAGCTGGGGTTTGGACGCACTGTGGCGTTTGCTGAAGAGGTGGTGGCTGTGTCTCATGGATCAGCACAGGGGTCGGAGGAGAAATGCTGTCTGTTTGGAACGAAGGACACAGAGAGGGCACAGAGTGAAGTTAGGCTGATAGACTTTCGGGATTCCTTCAAGAAAAAGGACAGGCAACCCTGAAAGCAGTTTA